CCGCTTCCTCTTCCGTTTCCTTTGCCGCCCGAGGCAGCAGAAACCGCTCTTCTGTCTCATCCTGACGCACCGTCTCCCTCGAAAAGTTCTCGTCGTCATGGCAGTCCGACATCTCGGAAATCGCCTCAGACATGAGCTTCACCGATCTGGGCGACTCCGTGACGACCGTGGAGGCCTCTTGGCTCGTCGGCGTCTGATCATCCGTCAGGCTGGACAGGTTGGAGGGCCGATGACTCGAGTCACGCTTGGTCGCAATTCGTCCAAGCTCCACTTCTTCTTCGCCGTCGCCGTCGCCGTTGCCGTTGGCCTCCTCTTCTTCCGGAGAGTCCATGTCGACGGCGGCATCGGGCACCAGATTCGACTCGGTGATTATAAATTCCTGAACGTCGATGACAGGCGATGTTGACGTCTCCTCTTTCGCCGACTCCACTTGTCCCACCTCGACCGGTTTCAAGTCGGCTTGAGCCGCCGTCGGCCATGCTTCAATTGACTCATCTGCCCTCGAGTCTGTCGCCTGGGGCTCCGGCTCCGAGGCGTCCATGAGAAGGAGATGCTCCTTCAGATCGAGGCCGATCGGCCTTTGCAGACAGCCTTGAAGCGAGTCAAGCAGATCGTCTCCACCTGCCGTTTCTGGGCAAAAGATGGACTGCCCTGGCAACGGCTCCATCGTGCCTACTTCCTCGGCCAATTCACGCTTTTCATCGGTCTCCATAGTCCACGGTGTCGATGAAGCACAACTACAACTCTAAAGCACAATGTCAAAATTGTCGAAATGTACTCCACAAAGCTAGTGGAGTCGATCGCCGCCAAAGGGTTCTCACAAAGCACTGAACCTGTTCACATTTCCAATCATCTGCCTCTGGCCAGGTGAACTTTGCTGCGTTCTGATTGGTCCTGTTCCGACTGGCCAATCAGCAGTCGGGCTTCACGTCAGTCTCTTCTGCCAACCTGTTTTGTCGGGTTGCTTGTCAATTTGGTAGGCTGGGCAGATGGAAAAAGGCGTAAGTAATGAGTGAAAATATAATTAATGCCAATTGGCAAGACGATTGGTAATATGCCAAAATAATACACATTTTGGCTGCTGCTGGTGCCGGTTGGCTAAAAGCGTCCTGTTGAGCAAGGGCGTCGACGTAAGGCACCAAATAGCGGCTTAAACAAGCATTCATGTGCACATCGGATCGGCGAAAGATTCAGCAGGAAAATGGAAGAGAAAGTAGAGTTGATGAGCTCATGAATTGCAGAAAAAGTGCCATTTCGAAGTTTGCCTCAAGCCGGCTGAAAGCATTTCTCGCTGATGCCTTGTAGAAATGTTCCCGCCCACTCAATCGACCAGCCGGGGAGGTCTGCGAAGAAAGACACTCAACCTGTAATCAAGGCGGAGCTCAAAGCTATACAATAATTAGGTTCACTTATTTTCCGACATTGGACTCGCCAGAGCCATCCGATTAACAGCATACAACGCCTTTACGCTGACAATTGGAAAGAATATATTCGCAACTCGTCTCACCTTGAAGGAGAGTACGTACAGATGAGCCAGAGAGAGTTAAGAGTAGTCGGCCTTACCAAGTGTGATAGAATCACGAAGGCGGTAGAGATCAAAGCAACTCGGATGGGTTGTTGAAGGCTAAAATAGTGTTGATTGTCACCATCGTCAAGCTGCCACTGGATGGAATGAATGGCAAAACATTTGGTTAATTATCCACTTTCATGGCTCATTAAAAGTGTCGGTAAACTCATTTTTCGTATTAAAGTAAAGTTTCAAGACTACCAGTAAATCAGTAATGTGAGATGTATTTACCCTATTTCATTTACTGGTAGTAGAATTTTCTCACAATGGTGTGAGTTGCTTTCCAAAAGTTGTTCCCATTGTGGGAAAATTCTACTATCAGTAAACATCTCATGTCACGTAAACTCAACCAGACTAAATAATCAAGCTAAAATGAGTAATGCTAATCGAGTTTCTCCAGAAATGACACGAAAAACCCCACAAAACCAATGAAATTCACTTGGTCTTGCCCACAAAAAGCTTTTCTTACTCCTTACGGACTCCAGCTTTGGCCACGCTACCTCGCGCCCATCGAGACTCGAACGAGGATCATGTGTAAAGTGTGGTGAAGTGTTTTAAAATGCATATTTAGGCTGAGATTGTCAATGAGGTCAGCAAAAATGGCCATATCAATCTATGATAGTTATTTTTGAATAGTTTTTGATTAAATAACATTTTAATAGAATTTTTTTTTTGAAGATGCTTTTTTCCAAACTTGTGCCAATTAACACTTTATTGAAATGGGAAAGAAGCTTTAAACAACTCAATTCGGGCCCTAATGCCTTTTGAAAATAAAAAATTCTAAAATACTGAATCAAAAAAACCTGACAACATTATTAACAATGCATATCATAAAACTTATCGAGGTTGCCTCTTCTTATCTTCAAATTCGTAGATCTAATTCACCGGATTGATGTTGACAACTATTCGGTCACAGGGACTAGAGTAGACCAGGAAACATGCATGAAAGTTGAGAGTATGCTTTCCTTTATCTCGGGTCATATGTCCCTAAAGGCATCACCTCAGCGATTATTAGGAATATAAGTAAAAGATTTTTAGTTAAATTAAATCAACTAATGATAAAAGACTTTTTCGATGAGATCAACTAAATGTAACTAGACATGAATGCCTTTAAAAGTTGAAAGTTAGTTGGTCAAACTTGAAGCATAAGTAGAACTAAATTGGCGCAGGAATGCAACTTTTATTGCCAAGGAAGACAATGTTGCCTGGCCAGTCTTTCTGGTTTTTTAATCAAATGTTAGCCCAAGTTGACTGTCAGGTCAAGAATCGCTCTCAAAACAAGCCTCTAAAAATGAGAGCTGTTAACTGGGTTTGTAAGGCTTTTCTGCCAAGATTGAAATGTACAACAGTCGTTACGAATTCACCGACCCTAGCGCTTCCTTGTCCATTGGGTGTGAAAGAAAATATTAGCTTTTTTTATAGTATCCACATTTCCGTGAGTTTAGGAGCGTTTTTTTGATAAAAACAAGCCAATTCTCTTCCGGAAAGAGGAGCAATTATTGTCTATCGGAGCATCGTCGAGGAAAGAACAATTGATAGAGTAAGTATGGAAGAATGTCAAAGACACTGTCCATGCAAGGATAGAAGGGAGGTAAGAGACAGGGTTTCAGGTGAATCAACAAATACACGAAGAATAAGTGGGGTTTGTGCTCATGAACATCGCATGCACACACAGCACACACGGAATCACATAGATTAAAACGCGTCAATATAGCAGAATAAAATGCAAATTTAGTGATAAAATGCGATAGCTGTGATTTCGTCCACATCCTCCACATGAACTGACCTCACTCGTCAAGTAGCCAACCAATACGGCCGAATAAATGGGAATAAGTAGTAAGTAGTAGTATAGCATTCTAAGAAGAATGCACTCTTTGGCAGACAAAGTCCACTCGCCCCCTTCAGCACAAGACTTTGCGGCGGAGGCTGGACAGATTGTCACATCTCACTTGGGTATTTGCAAGGCAAGTCGTGGCATTTCTATTCGCTCTAGCTAAGCCTTGTAACTGGCCTAAAGGGCACTAGTACTCTGTTTTCATGTCCCTCGAAGTCATATTGTCTCTGATCGCCTGCATGGATATTTAACATCTGATGGGCAGTAAAGCTTGCTAAATAGCAAACTCTACGATGAGGTAGGTGGGGCAGTAACAGGGGATCAGCACGAAAAATAATGAGACAGCCGATCTAAACAATGTACCAAGGTCGAAGTACTATTGAAAGTGGGAAAAGTGGAATAATTTGCAAAACCAGCAATAATTTTCACATATTACTAATAACATTTTTATATAATACAATGCTAAGAGATACTAGGACTAAGACTATTGTCTTCATTATATTATAGTGATAAATAGGAATATAATAATAATATTATATTGTATTACCATAATATGTTGCAATAATAATACTATCAGATAATGCCATTGATACAATCTATGATAAGAGTCATGCAAGGTCCATTTTTGTAATTCTAGTCAAATCTCCAACTGATTAGGCACTACAAGGATTTATAGACACATCCATTGGCATATGCTGTCCTATAATATAACGTAGCAATACTGTTACTATTAATGAAAACTGATAGAAACTAAAATAATTGTATTAAAAATGATTACTATACATAGTTTAAAATAATTAAAAAGCACTCTTTTTTTACTCCACCAATGTTGGCGTTAATTTAAGCAATGCAAAGCCAGCAATTACAGGAAATATAGTTTTCAGTTCCAAGTAGGGTTGCCTGGCAAAGCAAGCTAGACGCGCAATAAACTGATGCAAAATGAGTAGGAATTTCATTAGCCTTCACGAAAATCTGGTGGAAACGGGCTTCATGACTGCGCAACGAGTAGTGTGACTGTTAATCTGAGGCTGAAATTCTTTACGAGAGCT